ATACCTTCCTAATGCCATCTCAAATTCGTGGCCTATTTTTCTTTAATTTTTTATTGATATATACATATATATGTAAATAAATATAAAAATAGAATATGCTGAGTTCACTTGGTGTTGCTCACACGTCTGTCTTTTAGGCATAACCATTTTGTACGGATAACCAATTAGAGGAGTCATCCCTGGGGAAAACCAACTCTCCTCTCAGCAACTGTTAATTTCTCTTTATCTAGAGGTAGAACCCTGTGTGATTTCCCCCTTCCATGTCGGCATGTCAACTGGTGTTGTCACCGTTCGGGTCTTGTTTAAAAGGACGAATTGTTGAGATTTCAGCCTGTAGCTTCCTTATCATCCGTAGAAGACACAGTCTCACAACAGACTTCCTGATCCTCTGACTCTTAACAATCTTTCTACAGGGTGAATTTAAGGGTAAGTGTTCATCTGTCTTTATCACTAAGGCCTTCCCCATACACTTTTCCCTTTAATTTTTCTTACATATTGACCCTAGTTTTCTTCCTAACACCCTACTATGCTCACACGGTGCTCACCTTCCTCTATGCAAGGCCTGTGTTCCAGTAAAACCAGAGTTTGGATGAGCGGTCAAGGCTGTTGACCTTCCTTTGGCAGTCATCCCTCCTGACAGGATTCTCACATGTGTAAATCTTTTAGGAAAAACATTGCAGACAGTGTGAATGACCTGCCTTGGGTCTAGTGACATCATAGGGACCACCCTCTGTGGGACTTTCCCCATCTCTCCCATAACATTTGAACTCACACAATGGAATCCAAGGCCACCCTGAAGAAGAAGAAAAGGAATCACAAAATAGCGGCTCGAAGGCTGGAGAAAGGACTAGGGAGATGCTGGACAAACAGACAGGCCTCTCCAGCAGGCAGCCCACTTTGCCTTGAGGTCCTATTTGCCCATGGCCTTTGCTTAAGTCAAGACTTTGGAGCAGTGCTCATTTTCACCGTTAGTTCATATGTGACTTGGGAAGGGCTGAAACTGGAAGGCGCTAAGCTGTTCCTTGTGCTTCTTAACTCGGTGGTGAACTCAAAAATATTCTCAATATTAAATGAAAAGAATTAATAACACAAAATGTGTTCTGATGGAAAGTTGAAGTAGAAAAGTAGAAAAAGGTAAAACAAATCAATTTTGTTCCCATTTTCATCACCATCACCACCCCAGAGAAAGCACATTGCAGTCTTCCAATGTGTTCACATCTAACAGCTTGAGGAAAAAGCCCCAGTCCAGCTTCTGCTTCTCTGCTCAGATTTATGCTAAGCACAATTCTGAGGCTAAGAGTGCCCTGGGTTTTTGTTTTGGTTTGTTTTTTTTGTTTGTTTGTTTTGTTTTTTTCTTTTTGCAATTGTTCTTAAGATCATTCGTTTCTAAGGACCTTGTAAGAGTAAGCTGGCTGTCACCTGCTATAGGATTTATACATCCTTTGGACCTTTCAACATCATATTAGTATGTAGCACCCCAATGTTCCTCCCAAATCCAATTGCCAAATAGTTTCACCGCAACTAGTTAAACTATTTCCGGACAGAAATCAAACCCCGAATGATGGTGAGCTCAAAAGAGGGGGACTCAACAAAAGACTCCCAATGGCTAATCTCAGGTATCTAAGGCTGGGAGGGCCACAAAGTCTTGGACACCATAGTGATGAGACGTTCTTTTGAAAGAGGCTGAAGTGTGTGTGTTGGGGGGTGTAAATGACTCAGTGGGTAAAGGTTCCTGCAACCGATCCTGACAACCCGACAAGACTTCAACTTCTGGATCCACATGGTGGAAGGAAAGAATTAACTCCCACAAGTTGTCCTCTGACCTCCACATATATATCATGTCACATGTGGCTGCACATACACACATGCATACACACACATACACACACACACACCTAAACAAACAAACAAGCAAATGTAACTTAAAGTAACTTTTAAAATGGGGCTCCAGAGATGGCTCAACAGTTAGGGAGCTTTCTGCTCTTCCAGGGGGCCCAAGTTCAGTTCCCAGCATCCACATCAGGAGACTCATAACCACCTGTAACTCGCGCTCCAGGGAATCTAGGGCCCTCTTCTGACTCCTCCAGCACCTGCACTCACAGGCACATACCTCTCACATAGACAGATACAAATCCACAGAATAAAAACTAAAATAAATCTTTCAATCAGCTTTGCAAAAGACACAGAAAGGGAATCAGTGAGAAAGGCTGGACACTCATCTACTCCCGAGTTGTGTCTTCAGGGCTTCTTTGTGCTTCCTACACTGGGGAAGGCTGTGTGTGTGTGTGTGTGTGTGTGTGTGTGTGTATGTGTGTGTGTGTGTATGTGTGTGTGTGTGTGTGTGTTCTTAACTTGTTTTTACTTTTAGTCCATCAAGGATTAACACCTCTATACAATACAAATAAATGAAACAATTAATCAAATAGCAAAGGTATATAAAAGACTTGCCTAACATTATTAAATTCAACAAATTATATTTTATTAAAAAATTAATATAGAGCCAATTTGAATTGCTGTAATTTTCCAAATGCTCATTTTCAGTTTCTGTCCTTGTTTATCTGCTAATGAGTCATCAACAGGTCTCAGACTGGCACAAGTTTGTCAGCCACACTTCAAGTGACTCAGCCCCTAAAGAGTGTGGCTTATGAGTCTGTACGCAGGTTCCTGGGCTATGAAAGACAGCCCCAGAGGGACAATCAGGACAGCAGGTCTATCAGGTTCCCCTATAAGGCAGGAGTGTCAAAAACATCTCTCAGTGTGGCTCACAGTGACAGCTACACAACAGAGACCCGCAAGGCCCGGATGCAACGTGAAGAGCCAGCCACAGGCTGAGCACCCTGCACTTGCTCAGACCAGTCCAGCTGCTGTAAGAGCCATCCAAAGCAAACACAGCTCTCCCCGCAGCAGACTCAACAGAGCAAAAACCAACACCCAGAAATCAATGAGATAACCCAGTTCATCATATTACACAGCCCGCTATCTTCAAACCCAGGATCCCAAATACAATAACAAATGATACTATTAACCAGTGCAGGGGTCTAAAGCCAAAACCCAGAAACTCATTATTATAAACCAACGCAATTCTCAGAATTCCAGGTCAACTACAAGAAAGAGTTATGAGCCGATCTTCACAACTGAACTAAATCTCACCCATGTCTAATTGCGGTGTGCAAGACCAAATCCATTTTCCCTTCTGCATGGTCAGCCTGCCTCCTGAAGTGTCTAAGCCAGGGACTTCTCAGAGCGAGTAGGGCGGACAGTGTGGTTCGCTTGAAGGAAACGTGAAGTCTGAAGCCAGCACATAGGGTTTAGGAGCAATTTGTGAGCTGGGTAATCCAGACAGTGTCGGCTTCAGTTTCTCCATCCATAAAACAGGATAAATAGCAGTCACCTCCCTGGAAATACAGCTGGAAATGTTCAGTCATCTTCAATAAGAGCAATGCAGTTGTGCGTCCTTACTATAGAGACGTAAGCCAGGCGTGATGTTTCAACCACGCTATCCTAAAACTACCCTTAACAGTTCACCTCTTCCTTACATTCAAATCACTGTTACATCCACTCGCCTTCTGCTCCAGCATCATTACCTGAGAGGACAGTCATGATCATGCCTACTGGCAACATGGAGAGATGGCACACGAGGGCTCTGTTTAACAGAGATCGTTTGACAGTTCACGGGGCATTCGGGGGGCGGGGGGGGTGCTAACAGGTTCAGTTAGGTAACCCTGTGGCTTTTCTCACCTTTGGCTCTCCCAAGCAGGAAGTCACTTCTCTGAGTGTGACTTGTTTGCTTTGTTCAGCGTTTGGACGGCTTTGCTGTGGCTGCACCCCTGTAAAATGAAAATGCGACACTAGCTACTTGGTGCTGTGTTCTGACTTCTGCTTCTTAACATCCGTGCTGCTGCAGGTGAGGGGTGAGATGTAGCTCAGTTCCAACGCTGTGGACTTGGACAAATGAGCCTCTCTGACCTTATTTCTCTTAGTGTAGCTTAAATATAAGTTCCACACTAACTTCCTCACAGATAGAGACATGAAGATGCAAATGATCATGTAGAGAGAATTTTGGGAATAACTTGACATTCAACCTACGTATCACTAAGTTATGTGGTGAAATGGATATTAATTATTATTCCTGCTTTCCTGCCAAAGAAAAACAATTACATAGGATTTTCTTGCCATGACAATTTTGGTTTTCTTTTTTTAAAAAATAGAAGATTTTTTTTTAAAAAAAGAAGATTTCATAAATCTTTTTTAAAAAAAACAACTAAAAACTATGCAAGTTTTGGTAAGAGTTTCTGGAAAATATTAGAGCTCCTGAGCCTAGTCTATCTATGTATATTTGTACCTACTTGGTCCTGTATGGACTTGCGTTTTCAGTGTGAACAGAACCCTGAGTCTGATCAAGATAAGGTTCACTAAAATGTCTGGCATTTCACTGTCATCTGTTCCTGGGAAGAATGAGAAAATACAACCCTTGCCTTTTAAAATGCATTATTAAGGCCCTGGATAAACATGTGGTCATTTTCAATTAAAATTAAGTCAAAGAGAATTTGAAAAAAAAAATGTGTTGCTAATATTCTCCTTTAGTAACATGATTAAATCTCCAAAATATGTAAGTAAAATGTAGCCAACTCTGGTCCCAGTTAAAGAACGGGAAGACAAGGGATGTGCTTGCTGTGAAACGTATGGTTTCGTTGGGTGGTGCTTAGGCTGCAGCTAAGCCATACCAGAGAGCCACTGGGATCTGTGCGAGGCTCCACGTCTCTCCACCATAACTCTATGCACAAGTGAAAAGTGAGAGGAATGAAGCAGGGTGAGCACCACCTCATGCCAGGGGAAACAGAAGTATTGCTCTAGAGCGTTGGTTCTCAACCTTCCCAGTGCTGTGACCCTTGAATACAGTTCCTCATGTTGTGGTGAGCCCCCCCCCCCCCCGACCACCATACCATTATCTCACTGATACTTCAGAACTGTAATTTTCTCCTATTAGAAGTCCTAATGTAAGTATCCGGTATGTGACCTCAAGGGGATCATGATCCACAGGTTGAGAACCACTGATGTAGAGCAAGGACCATCTTTAAACTGTCTAAAACACACCAGGGTTTTACCGGCCCGGGTGTATTTTATTCTTTCACCATTTGTACCAAGAGCGCTCATCCAGAAATGAGTTCTTCAAGGCACACTGGCAGCGCAGACCTGAAACTCCCCAAACTGATAGCTACTCTGAAAAACTTGGGTGTGAAAGCTCTAACCTCTGGAGCATGTGAGGTGAGACGCTTACAAGAAAAAAGGAAAGTAAGAAAGAAAGAAAACCCAACCGTCTTCAGCATCTTCTTCATCAGTCGCAGAGCCAAGTGGTTCCTCCGTGCTCCTTAACGCTGAAGCATCGTAATTATGAGGCTTTCTTCATTTGCTCTGTTTGTCCTGACTGCTGGCGTTTATCTGTGCTCAGAATGTAAGTATCTCCTGCTCCCGCCACATGTGAACATGATATCATGGGAACATGATACGACTCTCTAGTGATTAAGCTGTTAACACTGTAAACAGTCTTTTCCCCTCTCACCTGCTAGCCGGGCAAAGTACAGCAACTATTGGGTAGCCCTGCTGTTTTATTGGTCTTGAAAAAGAATATCGTGACAACAGTGCCTGCTCTCTGAAGGATTAGATGCCACCGCTAAACCACGCGGAATTTCTCGGCTCACTCTTACAGGTTTCCGCACTGAAATTATTGGAGGGAGAGAAGTACGGCCACATTCCAGGCCGTTTATGGCTTCCATCCAGGACAGCGGCCGTCACATCTGTGGAGGAGTCCTGATTCACCCGCAGTGGGTGCTAACAGCGGCCCACTGCTACTCTTGGTGAGTTCCCCGTGCTTTTTCGTGTGTGTGGCTCTCTGTGACTAGGAGGAACAACACGTGTTAGACAAAGCTTACTCCAGGAATTAAGTGCAGTAAGATGAACGACGGCGATAAAAGAGAACGAATAAAACGATCGACTCTAGTAAGTAATTTAGAGTGTATGTACCGCTTATCTCTGGAATGTTCCATGCAGTGTTCAACAGCAGTTGACCACAAGCAACTGAAATTGCTGAAAGGAAGCCTGTGTCCAAGGGGAGGTTACCATATCTCGTTTCATGGGGTTTTGAGAATTGGTGTTTTTATTTAGATATTTCCGAATATTTGACATTTTTGGTAAGCACAGATATATTGCAGGCAACACTGTGAGTATTGGCAAAGGACTTGCAGATTCTCTGGTTCTTCAGCCTTACACTTTACCCTAGACATCTGAGGACCACACTTTGGAAATCACAACAATAAGAGACAGCAACTTCCCTTGCGGGGGAAACAATTATAGAGGGTTCTAAAAAGTGATCCGGAGCAGGTCAGTTGGGATGGGGATATGTAAAAGGGAAGCTTTTCTGACCATGGAGGACAGCACCCCGCCCCCAGGTCCCTTCAGTTTAGGACGAAGTATAAAATCTGTCTTGGGATGTTGTGAAGACAGTCGGTAGAGAGCTGATGGTGCTCGCTTGAATTTTCTGATTTCATTTCTTCTGTTTGCATATTTGTTTCTTTAAGCTTCTTGCCTGGATCCCTGATCACCTTCTCTTTTCCTTAAAACACAATAGCCCTTCACTTAAGAATATGTCTTAGGGACTGGAGAAATGGCTCAGTGCTTACGAGCACCTGCTGCTCTTGAGGAAAACCAGGTTTGCTTCCCAGCACCCACATGGTGGCTCACAACCATCCGTTAACTCTAGTTCCAGGGGTCCAATGCCTTCTTCTGATGTCTGCGCGCACCAAGCTTGCATGTGGCACAGAGGCATACATACAAGCAAAACACTTAAACATAAAATAAAATGAAGAAATCTAGTAACAAAAAGTTAGCTGGGCATGGTGGCGCACACCTTTAATCCCAGCACTCAGGAGGCAGAGGCAGGCAATCATATTTGCCTGAGTTCAAGGCCAGCCTGGTCTACCTGCTGAGCTTCACAGCAACCAGGGATAGATAGATAGACACTGTCTCAAAAAAAAAAATGTATCTTAGCTTCCAAAAACTGCTATCTATACATCAACACCATCTAGACAGAACAACTGAACTGTCTTCATTCTTCCTGCTTTGAGGATATTGTCTAGTTGCTGCATTTTGGTGGAACCCTGCTGGAAGCTCCAGAGTGTGAAAATAGGGGAAGGACTCAGCTTCTAAAGAGCAAGTTGCTGGATTTCAATGTTGTGTCCTTGCTCACCCATGCACCCCTCGCTTCTGTCCTGCTGCGTGCAACACTAGAAAATCTCACTCAAGGCAACGTTTGTTCCTCTCCAGATATGCTTCTGGTTCTCACAGCTCGCCAGACAAGGAACTGAAGGTAGACTGTTCAGCAGATGCTGGTGGGAAGGGAAAAGAGAGAGGGTTTGGACTGGGGGCTAAGCCTGAGACCTGGTGCATGGCAGGTGAAGTCACAGCAGGAAGATACATGAAGGTAGATGGTAGTAAGTTAAATCTAGAAAATTGTCTAATGGATTTAATTCAAGAAAAGTGTATCCCAAATTGCGGAGGAGAAGACTGTTTAAAATAACGGCAACAATAACAACGACAGTAATAATAACAATAATAAATAATAGAAGGGGAAGGGAGAGATGGAGAGAAGGAAGGAGGGGAGGGTGAGGGAGAACTGAAGAGAGGTCTTGGAGTTTAAAAGAAATCTTGCTAAATATCATTTTAAATGGCTGGCATATAAACAACTCTGAAGTATGTGGATCGAATTTCCTCCAGGGGACATTTGGGTGTAAAAATGTAGGCAGATCAGTGCTTGAAAAAATATTAAACCTTATGAAATTCAAAATATTTAGGAAATAGCTCAATGGTGGCTTCCCACAAATGTGCTCACAAGGCTCCTGGGGGAACAGTCTACTAAGACAGCCCTTCCTTTCGGCACAGCGACAGAGAGAGGAAAATCTCAGGAAGGCTCCCTCTCAGCACCCATCTACTCCAGTCTTCCTTTGTGCCTTGGCAGTTATTCCATCAAACCTAGAAGGAAATGGGCACCGGGTATGGTGGCACTCTGAAGGCCAGGGCAGGAGGATTGCTGGTTTGAGGCTGGCTTGGAGCATCCAGGAAAAGCCTGTCTACAAAGAAAGAAAGAAAAGTGAAGGAAATGCATTTTTTAAAAAACACTCTTGAATTGTCTTCTTTTCAATGCTTTAAGTCATCAGGAGAAAACTTTTGGCTCTGTTTACTGACCCACTTCCCTCCCTGAACCCTTCTTTCTCGCTCTTACGTGCCTAAACAAGTTACCAAGTGGAATCCTCCACAGTCTCTTTCACACAGCCAGGCACCACCAAGCTCCAGAGGCAAACCAATGGAACGGTTTTGGTTTTGGTTTTGCGGTGCTGGAGAATTGAACCTGAGGGCTCGTGCCTACTAGGCAAGTGCTACATCTCCAGCCCAAACCAAGAGTTCTAATCCTGCCTGGATGTGCATCCCAGAGCCTCCACCTAATACATTCTTAGGTTTAATTTACCCGCACCTCAACTTCCTCGTCTATAAAATGAGGATCGTCTTCTCGCCCACCTCACTAGGCTGCTGTTGCGGTGAAGGAAATAGAGGAAGACGTAGCTTATGCTTTAACACTTGTTGCCGAGGATTGCTATATTGTCCTTGCAGCCTTCCATGGTAATAACCAAGCAATAAATATGATGGCCCACTTGTGTAGATGGGATAGGACTGGGAATATTTATGCTTTCTGACAGCCAACAGCTTTTCTCTATCTGAGCCAAGAGAGACTCCATGAAATAGAAACCCTGCCTTTGAGGCCAGACCTCAGGAGCTGGTCAAGACAGAGGCTCTGCTTAGTATCAAGACAGGCTGGCCTAAGAAGCGAGCTGAAGGAAGCCTGATACACGGCAAGAGAAGAGTCCAGGGAAGAGCACTGGACTTGGGACCGAGCCCTGAGCCTGGCTCCTGCGTCCTCTATGTGCGAGATGGGTCACTTAGAACCAGTTAGAGGATCAATGAGGGCTGTACAATCAGTGGCTTTAAAACTAAGGGGGGCACTGTGAGGCTCCACTGAGGCGGTCTTGGCAGCCATCTTCGGCAGACTGTGAAAGAGAAGAAATGCACGACAAGCAAGACCGGGGTTCTACTCTGTAGTTCCATGACAGGGCAGCCAGGGTGGGACTCAGGAAACTGCACACAAGAACCTCCAGGTGCTAAAGGCCACTCTTGGAAAACCCCTGTGGCTTGCAAACGCATGACCCTGGTACTAGTTTTCTCTTATGGGAATTCACATCGAGACACAGATAAAGACATGGAGTCCAGAGAGATGGCTCAGTAAGTAAAAGACACTTACCAAGCCTGGCCACCTGAAGCAGATCCCTGGGACCCACGTGGTGGAAGGAGAGAGCTAAGTCCCGAAACACCTCTATGCGTACACCATAGTACACACACATTGTGTGTGTGTGTGTGTGTGTGTGTGTGTGTGTGTGTGTGTGTGTCTGATTTTTTTTTTTTTAAGAAAAAAAAAGATTTTAAAGAGGAAGAATCCTAGAACTCAGGAAATTTCATTTACTCCATGGGCAGAAGATTTGACCATGATGGGACAGATTGCAGCTGAAAATTCAGAGAGCATATTGATCTGCGTGGGGTTATTGAGCCTGTCGCCGCGGGGACAAAAATAGCTCTAACATTTCAAAGTCAGCAGCTAGTGGAGGAACTGGGTGAAAGATGAACGAGCGCTGGAAATCTCAGCCTCTCCCTCACCAGCATCCACCTTCCCCAGAGGTGCCGGTACCTCATGGCTGTCCTTGGGGTTGCTGTTTACAGACACACCCACTCTCTGGTCCCAGCCGAGGTCCTGGGGATTTTGTATCTTCCTCTCCTTCCAGGGCTTTGGGCTTAGTGGGTAAGTCGGATTTGAGTTTGAATCCATCCAAAGAAATCTAATCCATGTCCTCTGAGAAATTCCACCCCCATTCTGATTTCGCAACAGGCAAACTTTCAGCAAATAGAGCTGGAATTCCCAAAATAAGCTCTTTTGGTAGAAAATTAGAAGCGGTAATTCCAGGCAGCCGTAGGTCTGCCACATGGGAACCCTCCCCCACTGCAGTCCCGAGTTCTCTGAACCTAGACCCTCCCCCACTGCAGTCCTGTGCGCATTCTGAACCTAGGTCTGCCGCCTGCGAACCCTCCCCACTGCCGTGCGGGTTCTCGGGACCTACACAGCCACTCCTTTCATTCCCTTTAGATTCCTGTGCCCTTCTTGATTTTTAAGAACACAAATCTGTGTGTATATGTGTATGTGTTTCTGCTGTATCCTGTCTTGATTCCTTTTTCTAGTTGAAAAAAAATAGAGTTTTATCACAAATAAATACAAAGTTTTGTTTGGTTTTTAAGACAAGGCTTTTCTATGTAACCCAGTTGGATTATATAGAAATGTGTAATAATTCTGCCTCTGTCCCTGGCATGATGGGAATTGCACTGACATATATTTCTTTATATATTTCTTTCTTTTCTTTTCTTTGCTCTTTTTTCCTTCTTTTTATTTGTTCGTTTAATTGTTTTTTTTGATGTATGTGTGTGTGTGTGTGTGTGTGTGTGTGTGTGTGTGTGTGCACGCGCACAAATGCTTAAATACAGGACCTTGTGCAAGGTGGGCAAGCGCTCTACCACTGAGCTACACCTCTAGGGCATTTTTAGCACATCCTTGCTCTAAATGAATTATTTGAAATGGCTTTCATAAATACACAACAACAGGAAATATCTGTAATACACAAATGGTTGCAACATGTAGAAAAAACACCCCAAACAAAATGGGTTATATTTTCATCATTGTCTATGAATATATTCACATGTATTTGCTTGATCTGTACTAGGCCCACGCTTCCTAAAACGAATATCATGAACAGATGAGCCAGCAGGCATCCGAGGCCTCACCTTATTTATCTAAACACATTGTTGGAAAGATGCAGCAGTTCTAGGAATGGAGCCCACTGACAGAGAGGCCAGAGATGTGTGTTGAGATCCACTGGGGCCTCTGTCCCTTCACTGGTCCTAAGCAGGTCTCCTTGGGCTCTGTCCTTGGTCCTTCATGTGTGTGACCTCCACCATCTCCCGCTCTGACTGTTGGGTTTACACATCATTGTGTTACCTCCCATTTGTTTGCTCTTTTAGGTTCCCTAGAAGTCGCTCTCCCACAGTGGTCTTAGGAGTGCATTCTCTTTCAAAGAATGAGCCCACGAAACAAACACTGGAGATTAAAAAACTCATCCCATTCTCAAGATCTCTGTCAGGTCTCACATCACATGACATCATGCTAATAAAGGTGAGTAGATTTGCCTCCCTCGGTCTCTTCGATATTCTTGTACAAGATCACTCCGTGAATCAACTCCGTTAACGCGTTTTGGCAGCACCCTCCCTGTGTTTGAGGTAACTGAAATGTTCTATGAAGGCTCATGTTACCCCATATACTCCCGTGAAAGAAAAACAGAAACCACAAATGCATTAGAGACGTGTTTATGCCAGGGAAACCAATGGTACTGCTCCCTATGCAGAAGAGCAGCATGCCAGCAGCCCCAAGGATCCCCAGGAATTGCTTTTCCCCAAAATGCTGTTCTCATTAGCGACTGAAAACTACAACAGTTGTTTATGTAACAGGGCCAATTAAGGGACTTCAGGGAATCAGAAATAAGTTAAAACTTAGTCTAGACCGTACTTTGTCCAGCCCAAATGTGGTCTAGACCATACTCAGAGGCCCTATCCGGCAGGAAGCAGCCCAGCCCACAAAGTCATGACCTATACATGCCATTCCACAGAAATCCTTCCAAGGCAGGCCAAAGGCCAGTTTGCTCAAGACTGGGCGGAACGCCTTCTCTGTGTATGCTCCCATCCCCAAACATGAGTGAGCTCCATGGAGAATGGAAATCACATTCAGGGAAAAACAACAGCCAAAAATGCAGCTGCAGACCATCCCCAAAGTAGATTCGAGGGGAAGAGATGCCTTCCTGAGGCAGAGGGACCACACACCCAATGCACGGTCAAATGGGATCTAGTTGCAGAAACCCCTGGGGAAGAATAATTCACCCAGTTTTCTATCGTTCAGCTTCGCACCGCTGCAGAACTCAACAAGCATGTCCAACTGCTTCAACTGAGATCCAAAAACTATATCAGAGATGGAACCAAATGCCAGGTTACTGGCTGGGGAGCCACCAACCCAGATCTGTTAAAAAACTCCGATACCCTGCAAGAAGTCACTGTTACTATCATAAGCAGAAAACGCTGCAACAGCCAAAGCTATTACAACCGCAAACCTGTTATAAGCAGGGACATGATATGTGCAGGAGATGCCAAAGGCCAAAAGGATTCCTGCCAGGTAAGCACCTACTGTGGAATGTTATTTTAAGGTATGTTACATTCGTTTATGTTGCAGAACATTTGTTGCATTCTTTTATGTTGCATTTGTTTGACTCTGTGAAACTGTGTTACTGTGCCTGTCTAAAACACCTGATTGGTCTAATAAGGAGCTGAACAGCCAGTAGTGAGGCAGGAGAAAGGGTAGGTGGGGATGGTAGGCAGAGAGAATAAATAGGAGGAGAAATCTGGGAAGAGGGATCGAGGAAGGAGAAAAAAGGGAGAGGAAGACTCCAGGAGACAGCTACCCAGCTACACTGCAAGCCATGGAGAAAGAAGTGAAAAAAAAAGGTATACAGAAATGGAGAAAGATAAAAGCCCAGAAGCAAAAGGTAGATGGGATAATTTAAATTAAGAAAAGCTGGCTAGAAACAAGCCCAGCTAAAGCCGGGCATTCAGAAGTAAGAATAAGACTCGGTGTGTGCTTATTTGGGAGCTGGGTGGCGAGCCCCTCAAAGAGTAAAGATTTAAAAACAACCAACTACAAGCATCCTCATTGGAAGTGGTGCCTCTGACTATGGAGACCAATGAACTGCAGTCACCTCTGCATTTTCTGACCCTGAGGGGAAGCGTGGAGACCAGGAGGCCATAGTTCTGAAAATTTCCTGTCCACTCTTGCAGGGTCCCCTACTCTTAGATACCTACCAGTGTGAACTTCTCCAGCAATTAAGCTGCTCTCATTAAATACTTGCTCATCCCGTCAGACACCTGACCGTGTTTTTACAGGTGTCCACTGAAGGACACTGTCATCCTTAGAAAGTCTGCCAGCCCTGAGGGCATAAGTAGAAGAGAACTGACCCCCCAAAAGGACCATTTTTTAAAGTGATCCTTAGAGAAGACTGAAAAGATGCATATGCCGGAAGCTCAAAAGTACAGCTTGTGTTTCTTAAATAACGTGGACTTCTAAGATAAAATGCCATAAGTTGCATGACTTAAAGCCCACAGAAATGTATTTTTCACTGTTCTGGGAGTTGGAAAGTTCAGAGCAAGACAGTAGTGGATCTGGGGTCTCATGAGGGGGACATCCTGCTTCGTAGATTGTCTGTTTCCATCCTAACCTGGCCTTTAGGAGGTAGGGAGTCTGGGATTTTGATCGGTGCTCTAACCCCATTTGGGAGAAATCCTGCTGCATGACCTCACAAATCCCTACCTCAGCTGCTAGCCCTTGGGAGACTGGATTGCTCCCGTGATTGAGGGGACACAAGTCCTCAGACCAGACTGGTTAACAAAAAGCATCTGTTATTCTCTTTCAGAATTTTTGTGTGCAGAGATGGTGAGAAAGCATTGGGGACACATTTTAGAGGATTAATAAGCAGCATAGATGGCTTACTAATTTAAAGTCATTCCTATATTGTGTTTATTTATTTATGTATTATGTGTGTGGGCTCATAAATGCAGTCCATAGTATATATGTGTAGGCCAGGGGACAATTTGTGGGAAGTTTCCCCTTCCACCATGTGGGTACTGGGGCGGAACTCAGGCCATCAGACTTGGTGACAAGCAAGCTCTATCTGAGCTATATCTCGCTGGTCCCAGATTACTCGTTTTTAAAAATAAGAGTTTAATACTTGCATTCTACTAGAGTAAGCCTTGCTGGTTTGGTTCAAAGACTCCCTGAGACTACTACCCTCCTAACCAGGTCAGCAACTCTAACTAGCCCTGACAATGTCCTGCACTTTGTCATGTGACCAGCAGCAGACACTGGTCCTTATATTTGAAGGCCAACTCTTTGACCAGAAGGCCATCCTACCTGCTCTATGACTGCTTCACTTATGACAGAATTCAATTGTGTGCTTGTTAGCGTGGGTTCTCTGAAATCACCCCAGTTAGCAGGGGGGGGGGGGTTACATACACAGAGCTATCTTCATATGTGTGCAAGTGACAAATTAAAAACAAAACAAACAAACAAAAAAACAGAAAAAGATAACGAAAGCCCAACACAGTTCCTTCCATCACGCCATTTACAGTGCTCAGTTTCACTTTTCTCCTGATCTCAACAACAGTTTGGTTCTAAGACCACTGGTGTCAAACTGACATCCACAATTCTGAGCTTTATTTTATTTCAGTGGAAAATTTCAAACTCTCTGCTCTTTAACTAGCAAAGTCCAGAAGCCACTGATTACCAAAGGGAGGTGTGCGCATAGACATAGGGCAGAGAGAACAGAGACATAAAATGGGCAGAGAGACCAATTCACGGTTATAGACAGAGATGCAAACACAGGGAGAAGCAGGGATAGACAGACAGACAAACAGACACAGAAAGCCTAATCTGAATAAGAGGCTGTGTTGGGGCTCTGAGTCACAAGGAAACCAAAGACTGTTAATAACACTAAAGAACACAGTGACTTTAGGAAACCGCACCAGCTTCTTACTAAGTATCTGTCAACTTTCCTTTTCCAGGGAGATTCAGGTGGCCCCTTGGTCTGCAAAGGTGTCTTCCAAGCCATCGTCTCTGGGGGCTATAAATGTGGCGTCGCCAACAAACCTGGAATCTATACCCTATTGACTAAGAAATACCAGAGTTGGATCAAAAGCCAGCTCGCCCCATCCAGTGGGAACTGAGATTGTAAGTGGTTTTTTAGATCTGTCAGTCACTTGCTTCTTGTTGTGAAATGTGCTTGCAGATCAATTTTATCTGCAGATGCAGCTGACTGTAGGAAGCCTGTGGTACAGCTGGGGCATATTTCTGTGTCTTAAGGACTCATTTTGTTTACTGCTCTCTAGGCAGCAGTAAATAAATAAATGCCTGAATTTGAGAGAAAATTAAAAACAAAAACAACAAACTCATTTTGTTAAGGAACCATACTCTTTTTAATGGGTATTAGTGATTTATTTCTACCACGTTGGTTTCATTCTAAATAAAATGAAAAGTCTGTCTTTGTCTTTATGAATATCAAATAATATCCATCCTGCTTCCATCCACACTCTTCAAAGGGCATCTACAGAAAGCAATACTGGTACCTCCTCCAATTACGCTTGTGTTGGGATTTCTGCCAAATTATCCCATGCTATTCGGGTGTTTTTAATTATCATAAAAATTTTAATATGTTTTTAATGTGTTAAATGCTTTTTTAAAAGGATGTTTAATTATATGATTCAGTAGTAACAACTATAGATACTCAGATACAACAGATCTTCAGAATTTATTCATCCTGGAAATTAAAATTTTATACTCAGTGAAGAACAATCTCCCATTTTCCTCACCACTCATCCCCTACCAACTACCATTCTGCTCTAAGTTTTAATGAACTTTAGTACTATTTGAAAAGTTTTTGTACCCTAATAAACCTCTACACCAATGCAATAATCCAAATCAGACCAAATCAAACCGAATGAGAAAAAGCCCAGGTTTAATGAATGCCAGTGCTCCTGGACTTCAGAGAGGAGATGGGGAAGGAAGACCGGGAAACCATGTGTTTGATCTCTGGGTTGTTGTTTAAATACCCTGTGGGAGTGGTCTTGAGCATCTTTGAAGAGGGGTCACTGTTTGGAGGGCTTTCTTGGGGGTGGAGTCTGGACTGAGGCAACTCCCAGAGGAGGGGCTTAGAATGGAACTTTCCACCCAAACATTCCAGACTATTGGATACATGGATGCCAGAGTCTGGGGTGATGCTTCCAACCAAACACTATTGTGAAAATAATAAGCAGAAATACAAACTCAGTGCAAAAACTATCATCATGGCACACACAAATACTTGGGTAGTAAGTGTTGATTTATGCCACACTCTATTCCAGAAAGAGTTTAATTAAATGTATAAAATCCCTGTGATAGAACAAAACACAGTATTAAAAATTACTGGGCAAAGATTAGGGGAGAAAGGGGAAATAAGAGCAGAATAGAGGAGAGGAGAGAGAGGAGGCGAGTGTCAGAGAACAGCTTCGACAAAAATACCACTTATTAGGGTAGGGGCATGGGGATTAGAAAAACAAGTAAAGAGAATGAAGATGCGACAGAAAACATATGATTGTTCCAGTGAATACTGAAATTTGCCTGCGTTTAATTTTCCATACACTTTTATACCCCAATACAACAGGGGGAAGAAGACAAAAGACTGCTCTAACATGATACAAAGGACAATTAGAACAGTTACTTGCTTCAATACTTTGAGCCATCAAGACATAAGAAAAGCATTCTGTTGTTTAGGCAGTGAACTTACCCTAGAACAAATATCATAAAGACAATCATTCCCAAGGTCAAACCCCCTACCTCAAAAAGAAGGAGCAGAAGTGTGCTTGAATATACTATGGGTATATCAGGGTAGAGTGGATCTACCTATATGGGCCATCTTAATGTCAAAAAGACCAAGTAACCACACCCTAGGTTAGGGTGTGTAGCCACATTGTTGTCATCATCTTTGGACAAGTTAAAACTCTCTGACCATCAGACAAGGTGGAAATAGGCTCACATTTTTGGGCTTTCACAGGGGAAGGGATAGAGGGGCAGGGAAGGGTGGGGAGAGGGGAGAAAGGGTAGGAGGAGCGCCCACAAGCCACTCTTCTGTAGTGAGTTTCTGCCTGAACATTTGCTAGGAAGATTCACATACGGCCGTGTGAGTTGGCCCATGCAGAAAGAACAAGTAATAAGTTATATGAATTAAGGAAACAAAATTAAGTGACTTATACAAAACTAAGACTAGAGAGAACTGCCTTCCATGATCCTTTTGAGGATACTGTGACAAAATATACATCACTGAGGTCTCACATGAGATCCACAAATTTGTGTGATTGATTTTTAGATGCTAATAAAAATGAATATGAAATGAGGTAATAAAAATAAAAATTTTAAGAGGATACTCTGGCATGTTTCCCAGATCTCTTCTAACTATATCAGTGCATAAAACCATGAGATTATTTGCAATGAAGGGGTTAAACTCTTCCACTCTTACAACTGAATTTAGGTTTCAGTTTTTTGAGAAGGGCAAAACAGGTGTCTCACCCAACAAAGGGCTATTTATCCACAATCCCCTTACATTCGGGGACAAGGGAGAGAACAGAACAGGGCCTAAGGCAGCCTCACAATGTCTCAAGGACAAATCCATCAGCCCCTTTCTGAGTCATGTCCAGACTTGCCCAAGTTTGTCCAAGTATGTCCAAAAATAATAAGACTAACACTCAGCCAATTAAAAGTATACTAGTGTAACTGCTGCTTGCCTAACCAATTATGTATGAGATGACCTCACTGTCCCCAAAACTCCCCTTAGCTGTGCTTAAAAGGAGCCTGTACGCTCCTCTCAGGGTCATCGCCATTTTGTACAGATGAAAGACCTCTCATGCATGCTGGAATATTAATAAACCCTCTTTGCTCTTACATACTATTTGAGTCTGGGGTCTTCTTTCTGCATTTCCTTGGACCATACAGTAATACAGACTATAGTGACCCTTTGCCCCCAAATTCTGATTGAATAGGCTTTGAAGTGGGCCTGAAAGTCAGAAGTGTTTAAAAGTCAATCAGTTAGCCAGACACGGTGGCACATGCCTATAATCCTAGCTCAGGGTGGCTTCAGCAAAAGGAGCAAGGGTTTGAGGCCAGCCTAGACCTCAAAGAAAGACCATGTCTAAAAAATAAAAAATATTCTAATAATGTTCTGATGCTAATAAATTGGAAAATCTAGAAGGAATTGGCAATATGTAACCTCCATAATATCTTAAAGACACACTCTGCATTGTAAGCTAGTGCTTTACAACTGAAAAGTTTCTGCACCCTGCTAAGCCTCTCTACCAATGCAGCAACTCAAATCAGACCAAACCAAACTGAACTAGAAAAAGCCCAGGCTTAGTGGATGCAAACACTCCAGCGCCCTCCCACAAATGCACCCAAGAGAGAAAACAGAAAAGAGAAACCGAAAAAACATGCATCCGTTTTTGGGGGGTCAGTTTAAATACCCTGTGAGAGTGGTCTTGAGTATCTCTGGGGGAGAAGTTGCCATTTGGGCTTTCTGAGATGTGGCTGGGTTTAGAGAGAGATGAGGGAGGGGTTTGGAGTGGAACTTCCATCAGAACAACAACCAAGGTTCAAGTCCCAGGAGGACCTTTGCTGTGTTTGGTTGTCAACAGTCACTGATGAGACCTGTGTCCTTTCTAATTTGAAGATAGACTCTGGTAGAGAATAAGGAGTTTCTTCTTGCTCAAGAGTAAGGGCCACTTTTAACCTCATTTAGGAAAGATTGTTTCTAGGAGGCCACACCATCAAGCCCTCTCACGGGCATTAAGAAATGAATGATTTTGTTTGTTTCTATGTAAACAGAGACTACTCATTCATTTCCCTGCCGCCCAGACCCTGATAATCACACAGAAACTATATTAATTATGACACTGCTTGGCCAAACACTTAGGCATATTGCTAGCTAACTTTTATATCTTAAATTAACCCATTTCTATTAATCTGTGTATTGCCATAGTGCTGTGGTAAGGTTTTCCAGCACCCTTCTCCTTCGGTAGCTACATGGCATCTCCCTGACTCCACCTACTCTCTCTATATATATCTCTGTTTGGATTTCCTGCCTGACTTTACTCTGTTAAGTCATTGGCCAAAACAGCTTTATTCATCAACCAATAAAAACAACACATATACAGAAGAACCTCCCACGTCATCTTCCCTTTTCTATCTAAATAAAAAGAAAGGGTTTAACTTTAACATAGTAAAATTACATACATATAACAAAATAGGTATCAAGCAAGAATTACAGTTACAACTCTTATATCTACTTTCTCTTTTATCATAACTAAGGAAAACTTTAATTATAACTATCTATTCTTCAACTCCAGCAAAGACCTCAGAAGGATATAATGTTACCTAAGTAAACAGAAAATGCATTGTAAGCAACTTCCAAAACTCTGGAACTGAAAGAGATATCTCGCTTCCTGGACAGTCACCCAAACTTCTTCTGTAACATTGGAACATCCATCTTTAGCCTACAGGCCCATAGTATCTGTCAGACTTTTTCATAAAGCAGGAAATTTGAAAGACTGTTTTGCTTATATTGGCAGTTTGTCAGTCACTGTTCCTCAGTGTCCTGCAGAATGTCTGGCAGACTCTTTCATGAAGCAGGAACCCTGATGGACCATCTCACCTTCTTTCTGCAATGTCAGTAGTCATTTTTCATGGGTCCTGCATGTCCAGTTTATACAGTATTCCATCAAGCAGTCCAGACAAGAGCATCTTCTTGCCCAAATGGCTATCCTTGTCACATTGAAGGCAAATACCATGACAAATTTCTTCACTGCCCTTCAACCTCTCTGAAGTAATTGGTGCTACCAGAAACAGACATGTCTCACTGTTGAGAAAAGTCTAAGTTCTTAAAACCTTTTAAATGCCATATTCTGTAGGCCTTTAAAGTGTTAGAATTTATCTATCTAACTGAAATATATTTTTGTACATCTAGAAAATCTAACATGACAAGTTTCATTATTATAAATGAGTATTAGTCTGTGATTTTAAATTATACATTACATTTTTAAATGAACTGCACGAACACAATACCTTAAACAAGAGTAGAAATACACATATAGCAAAAGTGATCTTAAATTTGTATCAATAGACCAAGATCCATACCAATGCAAAGTATTCATCTCTATATATCATATCCCCCTTTAAATGAAACTAAACACTTATAAATAATCATTTTGGGAATAAATTTGGGTGTTGTTTTCTCCAAACTGCTTACTACTATCTAGTGGGATTTACAGAGACCTTTCAGGGGTCTTTTTCCATCAAAGCACATTAGCCTGAAAGGAATCCACAGCTTCTCATCTTCTGTAGAAATAAAATCAGAATCTCTTTTTCAAAGTAACATATTCTTAGACTCAAATTTTGAAGTCAAAATACCTTTTATATATATTGGTTTAGTTTAGCAGCCTGTGCAATGAAATGTCTCTCTGTAGTT